TTTTTTTTTTTTTTTTTTTTCTTATCAAGTGTCTTTTGGGCTGCTTTGATCATAAACAATTTTTGGCTTATGTGAGGACAGCCTTTTCTTGATGCCAGGAGATGTGTGGGGGTGTCAGTACAACTTCCTGTCTCAGGTGTAGCACAGGCTCTGCTACAGCTTTGACCAAAAAAGATCTTGCTGATAAAGATCAGCTGAGTGTCATCCTGTCCTTCTGAAAAATTGGAGTCTCTGTGGTCTCTCTCTTTTCCCTTACACCCCCCTCTTTTTTTGAGTATAAATACTGCCATTGAACTGCAAGATGTTCTGTAGAAGTGTGCTTTTGTTTAAATTTCCCTGTTAACGGAGGTTTATTGACAGTACTGAGATCATTATTGTTCCTTGAAGTGACAGACTGAAAATCTATCTTTTAGCAGCCTTAACAAAATCATTCACTGGTCTGAGGGCTGGTTATTTTGGTAATTTGCCATATAAGTGAATCAAAACTTGCCCAAATGCAGGGATTGTGTGAAGCTCCAACAAGATACACAGTCCAAAACCTTATCGTAATTTTTACTCTTTTTTATACCTTGCTTTTAGTTTCTAATTGAGACTTGTAGGTGGAAAGGACAAAGAAATAATTAGAGGAGCTTTGAGCATCTTGCAAAACTAAAGCTGAGAATGTTTCAACTTTTTTCCCTGGGTCTTTGAGTTCATGAGATATGATCTTGTTTGCTGTCCTGTTTTCATTCCTCTTAGAATCAGCTGAGCAATCACACTTTGTTGTTGTTCATTGCTCAGTTTCTCACACGGGCAGCTGCAGACTCCCTGTCAGAATTCTGCAACTTTCCTCCCCTCAGGATGCTGAGGGCACATTCAACCAGCATTTACTTCTAGGTACTGTAAAATATCTTGTCCTCCAATACAGCATCTAAAAGGAATATCAAACAAGATAGAGTGCCTACTTTGCTGGTAGAAGCAGCTGCAAAATTTAGTAACAAAGCAGATATTATTCCTCCTAAAAGTTATCAAGGAGAACTCCTTGGAGGGTTTTGTTGACCCAATTGTCAAAGGATTTTGAGAAGCATTTAGCCTCTTGTCAGGTACCACTGGGGATGGCTTAGTTGTGATGTGAATTACAGAAACACAAGTTTTCAGTTAAAATTGACTGCACAGAGATGTTTTGGTTTATAGAACCAAGTAAGATAAATTCAGTGATAATCTATGATTTAGGAAGCTGTTTCCATATTGACCAGGGAATTCTGATTTGATGCATAATTTGCATCTTAAAGGAAATTAAAGTCTCTACTGTGCTTTACAAGAGATATTCCTATTACTTTGGTTTTCTTTACTCATTGCAGATATACATCAGCTAGTTAATGGTGTCAAAATGCATTGCAATTAGGCTCTTCCTTTTTAGGGGTGTTGCAACTTCATATTTGGCTTCTTAAAAGACAAATCAGCTTTGGAGATTGACATACTATTTGGCAAATAATCTATGTTTAAGGAATGGGGAGAAGGTTACCTCTTAACAGCTGAAACATTGTGAACTGGTCCCTTTCCTTTTCTTTAATGTATCTAGCTAATTGTCCTCTTTTAGCATTGAAACAAGTCCAAAGGCTGCAGTTACAGTTGCTACAAAAGTGTCAAGGACACTATTAAGTGGTTCTTAAACCCCAAGATAAACTGAAGTTCAGAGTCCTGGCCTCAGGTATTCAAAGCTGATCATGCTGAAAGACTCTTGCTGTCTGAGTCTGACTGTACAGCAAGTTTGGGGTAAGAAGCTCCAGTGTCTTCACAATCCTGTCAAAACTGACAGAAAAGCAAGTTTGGAAGTCTGCAATATTTTCAAGTGGCAGGAATTAATCACACAAGAGGTATTCAAGTTCACAGTGTAGGTCTCATGTGCTTTAAACAGTTATGTCACCTATAGTTCCAGCTCTACAAGGATTTCAATTCAGGGTTTGGCTTTTCCAGTGAGAAATGTGCCAACAGGTGAGCGATACAGCAAAGGACTCCCTCCCTCCCTCCTTTGTAAAAGAGTAAGGTCACTGAATTCGTGATCTTGTGGGAAATACACTCATTCAGCTTCAGCAGATCAAATAAACCACGAAAGTAATTTGCATTATTTAACTGTAAAACATCTAGAATTTGGGCAAGAGGAGAACCTGGAGAATAGGAGAGATGTTTTTTGTCTTCTGGAAATCCAAGAGCCTCTGCAATCTAAAATATGTAATGCCAGACAGTATTTGGGAGCTGTGCAGGGTGCAGACAACAAGCAATTTACTCTATTGATTTCTTTGTCCTGTTAACACCTACCAATACTGATACCCATCTCCTATTTTATTCCCAAATATGGATTTACTGGCAATTTTCTGACTGTTAGTACAGAGATAGAAAAAGCTGATACAAAGGGAAGAATTTGACCTCTATCCCCCCATAAGTTTCCAATGTGCACTGAAGTGATGCTCTGAGGAAGGATGTTGTTAAAAGGCTGACCTTTCTGGGTTTTTTGGTCAGACATCCTGGGGTTTTTTTATCCCAAGCTTATAAATAATTAAAACCAATAATTTGCATTCATGTTGTGTTTTGGTAGATGAATGTCAGTCTCTGAAAGGAAATTTCATCTTTTCTTAATTTCAGCCTTTATATCTATGTGGTTCATCAGTTTGTGTGTTTGTGTGGGGAAAGCACTTTTATTGGAATGTGAGCCTTTTTGAAAGCTCATGGTGGTAATGAAGTCTCTAAGGATGTATTTATATTCTTAAAAAGCATGAACTATGTATTTGTTTTTTTCAGAGCCTCATTTATGACCAAGACTGTACAGTATCAAAATGAGCTGCATAAATTCCTGATTTGGGATACAGCTGGACAGGAGCGGGTAAGTCAAATCAAATCTGTGGAGAAAGTTTGGGCCAGAGCTTGGGTTGCTTTTCAACTCTGCCCCTGAAAGTCACAAAGTGATCTGATTTTACAAACATGTATTAGAACACTTGTTTCTATGCAGGCTCCTATTAGATGTGGGTGCTGTAGATATGTTTTTATTTTTCATTGTTGTCATGATTAAAGTGTAAAGGTAAGGAAGATTACTTAAGAGGAGTTTATGAAACTTTAGTCTGTGTTTAGATTCACTGAAAGGGAATGGTCTTCTCACAGAAAACAAGGCTGGTGTGGGGGAAGCCAGCAGCTGTCTCTAGTACCATTTCTAGTTGATTTTTAAACCTTCAACTGCAATATTTGCAGCCAGTGCAGCACAAGCATCAAAGTGAGATGAATTACCATGTTTCATAGTACAAGGAAGGCCTTGATTCTGGAAAAAATATACAACTGCTAACACATTCTGTTAGCTTCACTGTTAGGGTTATAAATGTGAGTAGGATGTAGATTTAGGCTTTCCAAAGCAAGAGTTTCAAGCAATGTTACAGGTGATAACTGCTCTTTTATTCTTTTGTAAAGTTTTACTAATCAAATCTGATGGTGTTAGACACTATGTCAAGGAATCTCTTTTGAAATTTAAATTTTAATTTGGTAGTTTGGGGTTTTGATCTCAGCATCATGCATAGTTCTGAGGGAAGGCAACAAAAGCTTTGAAGAAAATGACTAATCAGATTAAATCCCAGCTAATTAATTTGCATGATTTTTACTTGGAATTTAAAAGGAAAACTTTGCTAGAGAACTTGCTTGCTTATGGATTACAAGTAAGAGTGGTAGAAATTACAGTAGCTGTATGAACAATGCTTATTCTTGCTGTTTCTTGACTGCAAGTGAACTACTGGCAGCTGCCAAGTACTCATGATGAGTTTATTTAGGATGTGAGGTAACTGTGACAAAGGTAGGGTTATTACTTTAGGGTAGCAATTGACAATACAGCTGTACTGCTTTCCAGGATTGGCTTGAGAAACAGCCCAAACAAAAAGCCAAAAAAAACCAACAGAACAACCTCCCCCAATAATAACAAACAAACACTTTGTAAAGCCTCAGTCATCCCTATCCACAGGCACTTGACCTTTAGGATTCCTGGTGGAGCTGAGCTGCCAGCTTTTTAGCTTGATAACAACCCTGATGGCTAGGAAGTAACTCAAGTGCATTTGTATTGTGATTTAGTGCTGTAAATTTTGAATGACAGTTTATTTCCTTCCAATGGCATCATATAAAGCAAACTTAAGTTGTCAGGGATGTTTCCCAGGAATATATTCAATAGTATCTGTGTTATCAAAAATATCCTGAGCCCTTCCATTCCCAGCAGTCAGTCAGCATTTGCTGTAAATAGTTTGTCTTAAGTGAACATTGTAGCCCGTTCTGGAATGTTATTGCTGCAAAGTGATATTCTGAGAGGTAGAGTATGAATTTTTAGAGGTTGGTACTCTTAAATGGAAAGCTTTATAAACATGCCTGCCACTGTTTGGCAGGAAACATCCATTACATTTTAGCATTCCACCTGTTCACTTTAACTGTGCAAGCAATGGGAGGACCCTGTAATTTGGATTCAGCACAACTTATCTGAGGAAGCATCTCTGTACATGACCAGCATGTTCCTGGTCTATTTTTGGACTCTCAGTGATACCTCTTTAATTTCCTTCCATACGAGTTGCTTGATATCTTTATTGAAATCTAAAAAGGAAAGGTGTCATACCAGGACTCTGACCCAGGAGCTGTGATACCTGTGAAGTTTATATCCATGTCTGAGAGAAGTCACTTGAGACCCCAGTATAACCAAAGAAATCAGTGAAATGTGAGCAAGGATATTTACTTTGAAATGATTCAGTATCTTCACAGAAGTTTCTTTCTCCAGAGCAGGACAGCACTATCACTGCTGTCACAAATGACCTGCCTGGCCCTGAAATCTGTAGCACAGTTTTCTGGTCATGCAACATATCTGACAATGAATTATGGAAGGGATTCCCTCTGTGGGATAGATCTGGAATACTAAAAATGTCCACACCATTCTTGGAACTGAAATGTCTCTGCTGAGCTAGGATGTGGAATGCATGGAATTCACAGTCCTGGCTTCTTGAGGAGCGTTTGCTGTTTCCCGTTTCAAAAGCCCAGCTGCAAATAGTGCTGCAGTGCACTGGGCACTCCCTTGCTCTCAGTGGCTTTGGTGTGGCTGGAGAGCCTTGTTCCAGAGGTGGAAATGTGCACCAAGTCATTCACACACCTCATTTACACACACACCTTATTTCTTCTCTCATTTTTTCTGAACTGAGTTCAGTTGATAGGAGGTCACTTACAGTAATCAGGATTTTTGCCTTCTTACCTAACAGTTTCGAGTTTCCCTGCATAATTACATTATGCATAATTACATTAATAATTCTGTAAAACACAAATTGGAGGCTGGGTGACAAGCTGAAGTCTTTGGAAAAATTGCAAAAGGAAAATCCAGTGCTTCTGGTAACATCTGTTTTGTTAATATATTTTATCTGCCGACTGCTCTTAGGTGGAAAAAAGTATCTAAGTGTTGGCAGACAGGAAATGAGAGTAATACAAAATCAGCAAGTGAAGTTGGTTTATTCCCAATGTAAATAGTGAAATAATCAAAAAGCCAGGTTGCAACCAGTCCAAGTAGTGGTTTACCAAATACATTTCCCTTTATATTTTAGTACTTAGAAGGAAGAGGAGGATTATGTCCCAATGTGAACTGAATGCCTGCCCATGTTTCCCTTTCCCACTATTAAATATTTTTGTATTCTGAACTTTGCATTCAAAATCCTATTTTCAAAACAGAATTTGAGAGCCAAATGTAAATGGTCTGGAATTCTGCTTTATAGCAAGATTTTTATGATTTATTATATTGCTCTCAGTTGAACTGTACTAAGCAAAAGGAAATTGGTATTTTATTAGAAATGAATAAGCCTTTATGAAAAACTGTATCCAATTCATTATTTTTTACCTTGAGTAATAAGATGCAGAAAAGCTCTAAATCATATATGCTTACATGGAACCAGTTACATGCAGTTCAGTCTTTACTTTGATCAAGAGTTCTGGTTGCTAAATTAGTTGTCTTGGCTTTTTTGAAGTTGGCAGAATATCCCACTGTTCTTAAGAGTTCTTCATTGATATTTTTGATGCAACTTGATTATGTACTTTATCACTTTTTATTAGCACTGGATTCATAAGGTTCTGCCCACACAAAGGTACAGGCCCTTAGAAGCAAACAGATCTGCTATAGATTCAGTTCTGTAAATTGCAAGAAAATTACTGCTGCCTTTTATCTAACATGTTCCTTAAAGCTCTGCTTGCAATAGGGCACATAATTGTGGGCTTTTGCAGCTTTTTGGTTTAAACATGCTTCTAAATTTGAGGGAAAAAAATGAAGCAAAATACTTAAAGCCATAAGTTAAGATTCTAAAGAAATCAACATTTCTAGCATTTAAGACTTATGACTGATCCACAGGGCTAGAGGTTGACAGCAGCTTCTGAACATTTCTGATCAAAATTAATAGATGCTAGTCCTGGTCAAAGTTGACCTTGCTTCTCCCTGCATTTTTGCCCTTGTTTGGTGTTTGAAGTTGAGCACATGAATGTTTATGTAGACAGTCTGTTAAGTGAGAAGTTCTAATCTAGGCAAAATAAGATCAAGTTTGCCTCCCTGCTGTTTGCAGTAGGTGCTGCTGAGCCCCACACGATTTATTGCCTGGCCTTAGGAGAACAATGCCTTCCTGGGAGATTGTGTGCTCTACTGCACAGACCAGTTGTGACTATAAAGGAAAGGTTTTCACTGCTGTGAGCTTGGTTTTCACTTCTTTCAGTAGTAATACTAATGATAGTGAGGTTCTGGAGGTCAGTGGAAGATCAGGTTTATGTTGTTTGCTGTCTTTCTTCCAGTTTCGTGCTTTAGCCCCGATGTATTACCGAGGGTCAGCAGCAGCCATTATAGTGTATGACATCACAAAAGAGGTAAGAAACTTCATCTTGAACTAGTATTACAATTTCTGGGTTTTTTTATTTGTGTCATGGGACACTTCTGACTCTTAATTTCTTAATTCCTTCCGTCTTCTTTTTTTTTTTTTTTCACATTAGGAAACTTTCTCAACGCTAAAGAACTGGGTTAAAGAGCTCCGCCAGCATGGACCTCCCAACATTGTTGTAGCTATTGCAGGAAATAAGTGTGATCTTAATGATGTCAGGTAAATAACTGCTGTCAGGTTTGAGGGTTTTCCTTAAGCCCTAGCATTAAATATTTTAAGATTTTAGAGCAGCTGAATGGTATAGAACAATTTAAGCCGTTCTGCTCTAGTGTTGTAGTTTCACAAGGGGTTTGAGCTGTTTCTGCTGTCAGAGGACATGGGGTTTGAGCTATTTCTGCTATCAGAAGATGTGGTTAGTCTGCTCTTGGATGGTCTCACCCACTTCCTCCCCTGTGCTGATGTGAGTACATGTGTGATTGGGCAGTAAATTGGGCTATAAAATGGATCCAGATTAAAACTAACCCTTTAAAAAAAAAAAAGAAAACTGATCCAAGTATATTTATCTTTCTCACACCATGAACACTTGCTGGCATAATGGTGTGGGGATAGCAGGGTTAGGAATGAGCAGTTTACAGGCAGACAGGATTAGCTTTTCTGGTGGCAGTGCCAAGTTACACAAACCTAAACTGCCTGTGAAACTATCGTGTAATAGAAGCTGTTTACCTCACTTTACAAGAAGTGCCCCTGTCAGTCTGTAGCACCTCATTTTGTTAGGAAAAACACCGAAACTATTGGAAAGCATTGTGTAGGATTTTCTAACTTGCTTGTTCAGGTGCCTTCCTTCCCTGCTTAAATATTGGGGTGGAATTGGCCAAAATAGTTGCAGGGAGCGGGAAAAGCTCTTGAGAAACTTTATGAAGAGCCAAACTTTCAGGAAGGCATGTACTAAAAACAAAAGAAGGTCTTTTTTTATTGATGTCCTGGTTAAATAAGCCAAAATTCAGAAAGAAGGTGTGTGTAAACTTCTTGGGTTTAGGTTTCACTGGAAAAGGCACCACAGCTGGTGTCTCAAAGGAGACAGCTGGATATATGTTTAAAGAACCACTGCAAAGGTGGCTCTGAGTATGGTTTTACAAATTGGTAATACCTAGAAGTTATCTAGTGAGCTCTAATAACTTTCATTAGAAATAGCGTGTCTTTTGGAGGAAATAGAGTGTAAAATTATTTAGAAGAGAATTCACATCTCACATGCTCAGCTGGCATCATAAATCTAAACATTGCTATTCAAGCTTGTATTTTAATCAGAGGCAATATTTGAGTCACTGGTCTAAGTCCATGCTCTTGATAACCTGAAGTTCCTCATTACTGAAAGTAGCCAGTGTGTTGTAGAAATTGTATTTGAAGTGATACAACATAAAGTCCAGACCTCTCTACTGGGGTCTGAATTTTTCATTTTGTTTAAGGAAAGATACAGAATCATGAGGTTGCCTACTTTGAGGTGCAGAGTAACTTGTACACTTCTGTGTGCTCAGTATAACAATATTCTTTTTTCATAGCTACATCTTCATGCAAAGTAAATGCTGCACTGATGATTTGTGCAGTGTTGGGAGACACTTTGATTTTTTAAACGGTCATTAGAAATGCACAGGATCATTGGAAATAATACTTTAGGATCTTTTTAGGACATAGAAAGCTGGTGGGGTGAATAACACACCTCAGGAGGATTGATTGCAGACCTAAGCTTAGAGCACTCCAGACAAAACCCCTGCAATGCTGTCAGATGGATGAAGGCCTTGGGTAGTTCATGACTGTGCTCGTACCTCAAGGCAGGGAGACAGCACAGAGTAAAGAATGAGCATCAGCTCCAGCATGAGGGAGCACTGTGATAGCAAACAGGTAAAATATTCATGATAGGAGACACTTAAAAACTTAATCTGTCCCTTAAGGTTTTGAGTAATGGGGTTCTTTTGCATTCATTAATTTTTCTTTGCTTTTTTTTTTTTTTCCAGAGAAGTCATGGAAAAAGATGCTAAAGACTATGCAGATTCCATTCATGCAATATTTGTAGAGACAAGTGCAAAAAATGCAATAAACATTAATGAACTCTTTATAGAAATTAGTAAGTATTTAAACAGTTAATGTACTTTCTTCTGCAAAAAACTTGAGTAGAAATTAGATTTCTGTATTGCTTTTTGGGTGAAAATTTACAGACTTTATACTAAATTCGTTACAATCTCACATGGCTACAAACTGCAAAATGAGCTGCATGAATTTGTGGTCACCTGATGACCTCTAAATATTCCTTCTAGAGGTGTTCAGCCTACTGTGATGCTGCTGGATAAATAGCAGGCAGGGTACTCATGTCAGAAGTCAGTGTCAACTTACCATGTCCATTATTGAATGTTCTAGTTAGTAGTTGCAAGGTTATGGAAGAGGAAGGAAATGGCATGAGGAAGATCCAGACTTTATACATCTGAGAAAAGGAATTAAGTTCTCATTCTTCCTGCTTGTACTTAGGCTAAAAAAATGTATTTTTAAAAATGCAAGAATTCATAAATGCCAGATTACTGTATGGGGAATAACAACTACTGCATGTAGATTTTCCTCAAGTATGTTTGTAGTACCTTGGGGGTTTTTTATATTAAATTGCAAATCTTTTCTGTCCCATTTGTGTTGAGGACAGCAATGATACTATTTATATGTGTGAATAAAAAGCAGACAGTATTCCAAACTGAATTTTATGTGATATTATTTGGAGGATATGTGTCAAGTAACAGCACCAATGTGCAGGTGTGTCAGCCTGTTTGTGAAAAGAGGACTAACTACAGAAACATCAGACTTAAGAAAAAATGTAGGGTCTATAGGAGCAGTTGAATATATTGAAGCTGATGTAAAAAGTATGTGCTGTAGCTTAGCTTCCTGATTTATTGACTTAATAGTTGTTCCCTAAGATTGATCTTGAATAAATTATGGGGGGTAAAATCATAAATCCTCCTCAGAAGAGAATGCTCAACCAGGAACAGTCCATTTTAAAGACTGATGAGATGAGTAAAGCAGCTCTCTCTACAAGCACTCCTTTGTTAAGCCCCATGCAGGTGATCTGTGGAAATACAGGTCAAGGTGGTTGTTCTCAAGCTATTCCAGATGGTATTGCATCCTGCAAAGTATTCTCCAAGTGCTTTTACAGCTCAGCTGTCCAGGTCTGGATGAGCCTGAAGTGTAACTGCTGCTAAATTGACTTCAAACCACCTCTGCTGTCCTTTTGTGCAGCCGTCCCTCTTACAGACATAACACAGACTGCTGCTGCCATCCTGCTGGGCAGGAATGTCATCCCTAGTGACCTACAGCTAACCGAAGGCACATTTTTGTATACAGAGCACACACCGGATGCTTTAGAATTAGTTTCAAGTATAACATTTCCTATCAATTTCTTTTTCCTGCCTCCTTGTAGGTCGCAGAATTCCATCCACTGACACCAACCCCGCGGCCAGTGGGAAGGGCTTCAAACTTCGACGACAGCCATCGGTGACAAAGCGCAGCTGCTGTTGACTGACCCCTTAGAAAATCAAACTTGTTTATACAGTAGGTGGTCTTGGAAGTTAATAGTTCACATTGGGTTTATATTATCAGTCTTAGATCTTTATCTGCTGGTGTTCACACACTCGAGGTCCCCCAAAAAGGGACCGGCTCATCTGACACCTGCACGTGCAGAAAAGACTGCAGTCGTCAGGGCAGCCTGCTGGCTCCCACAGCGTGCAGCTCTCTTGCATTCAAAGGGAATCCATCATCACTTTTTTGGCCTTGCTTGATTGGAAGGTGACTACGTGGATGGTAGAACTGAAATGTTTTCATAGTTTTGTAATCAAGGTTTTGGGAGGTTTTTCTGTAAAAAGGGAAATGAGCACTTTTGGGGGAGATTGGTTAGGAGGAGTCTGGAAGTTAGATGTCGTTTTTTCCTTTTCTTCAGTGAGCCTTATTTTCAATTTTGGTGTAGCTAATCCAAAGTATGATGGGATCGTTGATGTGAGATGGCTACAGAATAAGGACCTGAAGACAAATAGTAGGCAAATCAGTCCATCCAGTCCCCAAATCCCATTTGCACTTTTTATTTAAGAATGATCTGCACTGGGGGAGGGGACACAAGCAACAGATCTTAAACCACAGACAATCTTCTTTTTCATGCTGACTGTAATCACTTTAAGGCAAACTGGTATGCTTATAGGCATCTTTTTGTTGTTGCAAGTTTTTTCAATATTAGGAATGTTGGTTGAAGAAAATTACTTGTAGATCTGACTAAAAAGAGATGCTGTAAACAGATGCTGCCAGTGGTTCTGATAAGACCTACAAGTTTTTGGGGAAAGCTTTTAATTGCTTGGCATGTGTAAAGTGTTCATATTATATTTATGAGACCAGTGTTTAAAGTGTTATGAATTATGTAAAAACAGTGAAAAATAATACGATCTTCTACACTCCTTCCATTCCACACCTAAGGATAAACTCTTGGGGAATCTCCATCTCCAGTTTTTTTCCTGCATTTTAGGTATTGTCACTGTGAGTTCATCCAGAGACAGATGAAATTCTTTCTCTTTCAATGACATTTGAAAGAGCCAATATAAAAATCCTGTTGGGGCAGCACGAGGCCTGTCTGTTAAACGTGCTTTCATCTGGGGTGCACCCAATATTTCCTATTTTGGGCACAAAAACACACATGGGAAGTAACCTTAAGACGTGGTAATGTAGATCATTACCTCTTGGTTCCTGGGGTTTTTCATCTGTGAAGGTTTTTAGCAAATCAGTGTTTAGCTTATTCTGTATGGGTTTTAGTAGGCTTTCAATTAAACTATAGGTTGACCATTCCTGTTTGTGCTATTTTATTTATTTTTACTTTTTGTTTCTTACCAGCACTAGTGAGAAACTTTTATACTTTTGAAGAAAAAGAGCTTAATAGACTTGAGTATATACTAAAATATGCTGGTTAGCTTTAGTATCAAACTGAGGTCATGATGATGCTTTTTCTTTTTTTTAATCTGGTTTTCTATCATCTCAAGTATTTTCTCTGAAGGAAATTAGGAAAACTTGTAAGAAATGAAAGGACTTGTACTTCAGATTCATTTGTGTTAGTGAAAATTCTTGCAGAGCTGGAGCAAAACAGGCAAACTGTACAGTGAGGTGTTTGGACAGGTCAGTGAGTTTCATGATATTTGGTGACTACATTTTTGTCATGCCTTTTCCATACCCTGCCTGCATTGCCAATTCTGCCTTCTTTGCCACAGTCCTACAGGCTCCATGCTTCTAGAGAGCCCAAGAAATCCAACTTGATGGGTTTACACCCTACTCTTTCTGCAGTTCTGATCCTGAATTACTGCAGGTAATGTGTAACAGCCAGATTGGCCAAACTGCCAACCCTGAGGTGTGGCTGCTTCTTAATACTTGCCTATTTAAAAGGACAAACAGTTCTTCTGAGTCCAGATAAGTGATTATTAATCACTGGCCCTGCTGAAAGCTGGAATGAAATCTTTCCTGCATGAGATGCACATGCTCATTGTTTCATTTTTGGAGGAGAAAAATGGTTTCTTTAATATTAATAATTTGTTAGGTCAGCTGCTTTGATCTTGCACTAGGCTTGCTGGAATTGATTCTATTTTGTCCTAACATAGCTTCTCTATTTGGAGATACATTGGTTTTGATTATCAACCATTCCAGCTGATTACCAACCATTCCAGCTAAATTTTTAGTAACTTTTTTCCTGGTTAGAAATTGTTTAAAAAGCTCAAGATTGAAGTTTTATTCCACCATGTCTTTCTGTCTAGTAAGTGGAACTCATCAGAGAGACTCAACTTTCAGATGCTGTCAAAGGCAATTACACAATCTCAGAATGGTTCAGGTTGAAAGGGACCACAGTGGATCATATGGTTCAACCTCCCTGCTCAAGCAGGGTCATCCCAGAGCACATTGCACAGATTAATTTCTGCAGAACAAGTTTGAAAGGGCAAAGTGTCATGTATGTAAAAATGTAATGAGGTGTATGTTATATCATTGATCCAGAACATTTTTAGCTGAAAAAATATGACTATTGCAACTTCTAAACGCCACCAGTTCTTTCTCATGAAAGTTATAGAATTGAACAAAAATATAATTTGATAAATATTTCATTCTTAAGCTTTGTAGCAACTTTAATGTGCTCTCCAGGTTTTGGAAGGAGTCTTCATCTGACCCTCTATTAAAACAGTCACTTAGCTGACTTGCCACGCTCTCAGTCTGTGCTGTAGGCAGTTTTGTAGGGTATTTTATATACATGCTGAAAACTGGCATATCAAGTACTCCAGCAGGTGAAATTTGGAAACCGAAATTCAGTAGCATCTAGTAATCATACTACTGAAAATTATTATAGGTGCTTTGAAAAGTTTTAAGACAATTCTAACAGCTTTTGCTGTTGCCATGAAGGTAAAGATTTTGTCTTAGGTCCAGCAAATCACTGCACTCCAGACCCCTGCTGACATCAGTGAGACCCTTCCTTTAAGTGCTGCAGCATCACAGTTAATGGTTTAGAAGGATGTTTTATGCAGACTGGAGTTTTTGATATGTTGCTTTATATTTAATGCTACCAGCCTGCTCAAGAAGGATTATTTACCTGCTTGGGAGGAGAGTAAGAGGAGAGGAGACAGGACCTACTTATTGATTTGGAAGTCTAATCCTTTAACCTGGTTGAGGGAGAACTACACTTGTTAAATTTCATTTTAATTATTAAAAAGAAATCCACGGTGAAAATCTTGAACGGTTTAAAAGTTGGCCTCAGCAAGATTTTTTTTGTTACACTGTTAAGTTTAAATTATTCCTTCACATTAGTGTTTAATTCCAGTATAACACATTATTTGTTGGAAAAGGAAGCTTTAGCAGTGATATTTGAATTACTTGCTTGTGAAACAGTCTTTCGTGTGTGCTAAGGATGGTGTGGGCTATTTGTGGTGTGCTGTGTCAGCAATCTGCACAGGAATGGATGATTTACAGGACAGAAGCTGTCAGAACAGTGGAGCTGCTCACCCTGGAGTGAACCTCACTCAGCAGCAATAGCTCCAAACAAGCAGGGGAAAAATCATCTCCAACATGAGGAGAACCTGCATAATTCACTGGCTTCATCTTCTACACTGCCTGGTCATTTTGGTAAAAGGCTTTGTGTATCTCTCCTGCATACTTGCAGCCTCTAAAAAGGGCTTGTTTTGGTTCATAGTTGAGAGCAAAGGACGAAGTTTCTTAACTTTTCTAGCAGGAAGTCATTGTACAGGCACCCGAGATGGTTTGTACATCACAAGTCAGTTACTCAAAGCAGGAGAATTGTGTAGATGGAATTAAGTCTCTAAACATCTGCAAAAAATTCCCTTTAGCAAACTGTTGATGTTTTATGTTCAGATCCCATTTCTGGTAAAAGATCACAGCCTAGTGATGGTAGGTGATGGAAGATTTACAGAAATATGATGATGGTGTGAATTGCCAATGTAAGATGGAAATACAGGTTCTAGTACTAAAACAGTGAAGTTAGCTTTCCTTTGAGTCATATGGCTCAGGCTTGTCAAAAGGAATATGCTTGAAAATACATATTTGTATATCATACAAAAATTCAGGTGCCAAAACGTTATTCTGTAAAATTATTTAGGACTTCTCACACTAATATTTGTTTCTGAAAAATCCCTTCTGATATTCTGGAGGTCTCAAAAGTCTGAATGCAAATCACTTTTTGTTCACCTACAGTCAAAACTTGGAAGTGCACAACTTGGAAAAAATCAAACAAGTATTACCAGACTTTATCCCTGAAGTGTCACAGAGAACAATCTTTCAAGGGATTTAAAAGTATCCTGAAATCCAAGAATACTGATGGGTTTAGCCTCTGACATGTCAAAATGTTCTTAGGGTCAGTTTTTTCCTCGTTCCCCCTTTCCATTTCCTGCCACCCCACCCAACCCTGAATTTTTAACATAGTGTTTGTCAGTGTCCATGCTATAAAGAGCTATTCAGAAATACTTAGAAAAGTTCTATGGCTGAGAGTTACTTGGTGCTCCCTATTTTACATGAAGAATCGAGGCAGTAGGATGACTTTTCTCAGTCTAGAATAGACTTCTTAGAAGAAACAATTTTGCTGTTCCTGTTACATCAACCTGTAAATTGATGTTCCTAAATTTTTGTTTAAACACTAACTATAAATTTTATTTAAGGAGCTAATTATCTTTATAAATATTTTCTTTTAAGAAGGTTAGGGGTTTGCTTTGCTTGGTTTCTGTTGAAGTGTTCACACATGTATTCTTGAACAAACCAGCTTTTTCAAATGTTGAAAGACACAGACCACTCTTCTGTCGTGCTCTTCATCACTGTGGGTGTGATACTCCATCCAGTTGTTGCACTTGAATATTCTGTAACTCTGACACCTTGATATGATCTTGCCTCACTTTTACTCGTGTTACAGTATGTATTTCCTATTAAATCCATTATGTTTTCTTGGCAATTTGTTCTTTGTTTCCTTATGGGATTTAGACTATGGTAGGTGGTGAGTGTCTCTTTTGCCACAAACTTCTAGAAGTATTTGTCACAGCAGCAAGTATTTGTAAGCAAAATGGTAATTCATTAGCACAGCCTTATGAAACTGTCACAGCAGCTGAGACCTGTGCCATGACTGTATTTTACCACATAATGAAGGCTAAAAGCACATTCACCTGGAGGAGCAAGTTATTGTAAGCCTCTAGTCCACTCTTCTGTATTTTAGCTTGCTTTCTTGTACTTCCTCTTTCTGAAATTGTGTATCCAACATTGACACTGTGATAGTGAATTGATATAAGGCACAGAAATGGATTGCATTTCTGTAGCTAAGATGCTTAAGACTTCCTGGCAATCTTCCCACTTGTACCCACCACAGTGAGGACAATGAATAAAAAAGGGTTTTTTTTAGAACGAGAAACTGCATTTGTGTGTTCAGGACAAAAATAACCTGATATGCATCGAGCTCTTGCAGTGTAGTAAATGTTTGCCTGTAAAATGTGTCAAGGTTAACCTTTGTATCAGCAATTCTTGTCACTCATAACAACATTCTGCCTTTTCATTCTAGGATGGGGTTAACCTGTTACAAGGGTTGAAAGGTCTGTGCCTTGTTACTATATTATCTCTTACTAAAACAAACTTAAGCCGCTCAAAGTTACA